AGTGATCTTTAAAGGTCATTGAAGAATTTGGCCGATGTTCAAAGACATGACCTGACCAGGAATGGTCATGATGCATAGCAGGATATTAGATCTGTATCGTGGAACTTTACAAACACTTTAGATGATTTCATAACTTAAGCATGCCTATCAAAAATATTTATTACATGGCTCAGGTGTAAGCTAGGTGTGTGATCATGCTTACGAGTATGTTGAACGCAACTGATAATGTTCTGTTGGCCACAATTTCTATATTTGATCTATCCTCCCGGATTTCATATTTTTATTAATGACACCTTGATGATGTCGAGAAAAAAAACGCTTAGGAGATTTAACAGCCGGAGATACATTCAGTATAAGGAAGGGTCAAGGGTGCTAGATTGCTTCCGTCCTCGCTATCCTCAGGAAAAACCAATCCGCATCGCCCCTAGCCTTCATGCTTACCCCTCTGGACTGGAGGTCACCCCACCAGCCAACCTGTAGTTGATGTCGGTTCCATTCCAGGACACATAATCCTCTTCGGGTGACCGTTGGGGAGACGACTGGAACGCCCCGACAGAGCAATCGTCCCACGGGAACAGTCACGCTTCCGCAGATCACTGTCGCTGGCTCGCACAACCAAATTACTACACCAGAACATAATTATGTCATAGCTCTGCAAGGGCCTTCTCAGACCGAAAAAGATGGCTCCCAGCAAAACAAACAATTTTCTCATTCAGTATTGTATCTCATCAGGCATCACATGTTTTCAGACCTCAGAGTGTTTCTTATGCGTTCCGTCAAAAAAAAAGCGCAGTTCAACTTTCTCCCATTGACTTTAGCGATCTCAAAATTGACCCGACCTTTCTGTCAGCAATGTCAAAATTGCAAAGTAAACGTTTCAAATACATATACTGTTGCCCATTGAAATCGCTGAAGGTTCTAAAGTGATCGGTTAGTCGATGCATTTAGATATGATGAGCACAGGAACTTTCCTTGAGGTAAGGTCACTTGACGTGACCTGGTGTTATGACCTTCAATTGAAAGACTTGGGCGGAAACAAATGGGTCATTTGAAATCTTAAAATGTTAGATTTTAACAATAATTGCGAACACTATCACGGCCAAATAGTGAGTGAGAAGGGAGCGATTCCCCAACCCCATGTTTAGCTCCTATAATTGAGCTAACTGCTAGAGCCTCGCGGAAAAAAACGAGCGCTTGCGTCGTTACATGACACAGCGACTGTTACCCCATTTTAAAATATCAGTGACCTCTTAGGGCAGGTCAAGGGCCCCACGGCATTGGATCGGTTTTTGGTGAAAAACTTCGCAAAAAAATGTTCGCATTATCGTCATTTCGATACAATCGTGTTTTCTGTTCTCAGACGCGTCGATTTATATGCTTTTTTGCTTAGGTGAAGCAATTTAGGATGTTTAGGGCAATGTCATGTTAGGGCAACACAGGTCACGAAGCTGTTGAAAGGAGGACATATTGCATAATATTTGATTCGGCAAGTCTTGCAGAGTCCATTGATGGCTGTCCCGACTGGCTAGCTCATTTTGCTCGGGAGTTATTGACGAAGCACTCCTATTGACGAGCACTCCGTCACGCAAGGTGAGCAATGCAAAAGTGAAGCATTAACCCTCGCCGGACCTATTGGTTTTCTACATACGCGCCGGCCGAGGGGGGGGGGGGGGGCGGGGGGGAGCGGGTACGACCCCTCGCCGTTTCGCCCCTAGTGGAGCTAGCGCGTCGCGGAAAAAACGAGCGTGTGCGCCGTTACGAGACGCAGAGATTGATACCCAATTTTAAGGTCCTAGGTCAACCGGTGACCTTTGAGGTCAGGTCAAGTGCCCCAAGGTACGGTTCAGTTTTTGGTGAATAACTTCGCAAAAAACGGCCGCAGAGCGCCGATTTTGGCAGCATCGTGTTCGCCTCGCTCAGGCGCGTCGAATGATATACTTTTTGTTCGGGTCAGGTCAACTTGGGGTGTTGACCTCAGGTCAAGGTCAGGTCAGCACCCCCAGGTCACGAAGTTGGTTGAAAGAGGTCATGTCGCATATCATTCGATTCGGCAGGTCTTCCTGAGTCCACTGGTGGCTTTCCCGACTCGCTAGCTCAATTTGTCAAGAGTTATTGACGAAAAACTAATATGACCTTGATGACGTCATAAATGACGTCACACAAGGTCAACATTGCAAAAGTGACGCATCTAACCTTGCAAGGAGTGCATCAAATCACGATTCGGTGTGCTTGAGATAGTTGGAGATCGTTCCCGGCGCCAGAATAGTAGGTTTCATTTTTCCCCATTGACTTATAATGGTGAGGTCACGAAAATGACCTGACCTCATATGACCTTTAGGAAAAATCCGAGATATAAAAGTTGTGAGACTCATAATGGATACTAGATCCTGCAAGTTTCATTTCCTTGTGACATCTCCTCTGGCAGTGAGGGCGTTGCGAAGTTGCGACATCTGAAGACCGTGCAGAGGTTCACTTATGACGTCATAGGTCAGTGACCTGACCTGATTAAAAAATGCGGTTGGTGTCAAAAGATCCGGCTTGAAATAAAGGTCAGGTATGCCAAGGTTCAGCTCTCTATCGCCGGCGTGTTCGGAGCTATCGCGACAAAAACCCTATGGGGGGGGGGGTGGCACCCGCCCCCCCCCCCCCCTTCTCGGCCGGCGAGGGTTAAACCTTGCCAAGAATGTATGAAGTCACGAGTTCATGTGCTTGAGGTATAGTTTTAGGTCATCATTACGGATTTGCATCATTTTACAACCGACGACCGTGCAGTCTGCAGAGGTTTACTTAACCCTCGCCGGCACAGGGGGAGGGGTTGATGCAACCCCCCCCCCCATAAGGTTTTTCGCGAATAACTCGCGTAAAAAGCGGCCCATCGCGAAGAAACTTTCAGTACCCTCGCATTGATCAATTTTACACGTTCCCTGAAAATTTCATGACCCTGACCCCAATGACCTTTGACCTGTGACCTCTTTTCCGTGACCATGTTTGGCCGAAATCGCGATTCGGCGATGTCGGCTCGCATTAGCCGCGCGTTTGCAAGCTTTTCGTGGTTTCAAACGTTCAAACATGTGATTTGATGTTGCTCCCATACATTAGGGTGGGTGTCAAGGTCACCTGAAGGTCAGGTAAGGTCATTGACCTTTGGTGACCTCGGGTGACCTCGGTTCACTTTTTCGAGTTTTACATGTTTTTAGGCTAGTTTTTTGGAGCTGAATTAGTTTTAGTGCCTTCGTAACATGTTACGAAGCTGTCAGAGGCGGTTGACACGTATTACGAATACCCGTCACAACCCCTACCGGTTGACCTGACCTGACCTGACCCGACCTGGTCTACATGCTTAAAAACATCATCTCTGATCAAAACTAACACGATATTCGTGATCAGCACCCCGGAAAACCACATAGCAGCCACTACGACTTTCTAGCAGGTCCCGATTTTCCCGGTTTTCGGGTCATTGACCTGACCTGGAAGGTCACCCGATGACCTAGGACCTTACAATTGGGTATCATCGGCTTCCTCTCGTGACGGGCAGCACGCTCGTTTTTTCCGCGAAGCTCTAGCTCGATCAGGGGCCAAACGCGAGGGGGGTCGTACCAACCCCCCCCCCCCCCTTGTGCCGTCGAAGGACGCAAAATGGCCTGTGCCGGCGAGGGTTAAGACGTCATAGTTAAGTGACCTGACATGAAAACGTGGTTGATTTCAAATGATCCGGCTTGAATCAAACATAAGGCATATGAAATGTCAGCCTTCTATCATCAGTGTGCTTTGAGCTCCCACAAAAAAAAAAAAAAAACATGGTGGCGGCATCCACCCCTTTTTCTCGGCCGGCGAGGGTTAAACCTCGCTTCGAATTATTGCAGATAATGATGCGACCGAAAACAAAGTATCTATCTGTGTCTAGAACGGCCGCTGACTTGTTGGACAAGATCCCCAATCCTAATTTGCTAGATGGGAATAAAATACTCGGCATAAATTATGATACATATATACCCCTCGATTTGCCCTCGCGCTAAGTCAATTCTATTCATCACTGTCGCTTTTTATCCGAGATGATGTCGCCGCTAAACGGGTTGTTTTGTTTGCTTGCTTGCGTTGAATGGTCATTACGGATTATTGAAGGATTATGATATACATAATAGGAATGGGGCAAGGGAGGATATGCACTGCAGTGCAGGTGTTTAATTTAGATCACAAAGGCATCATTTCCGGCATCGTGCAGTCACTATCTTCCCCTCCTCTGCACTGCGGCATCGCTGCGCCCCACACGCGGCGTCCTCACTCCACGGCCGGCCGCCGCCAACTGACCCACTCGCCGGGCGCCGCGACCTGACCCGTGTCACTGCCGCGGCCTGCGCAATAGAGTCGGGGCTGGAATCCGGGGGTTCGGCCGGCCGGCCGCCTCTGGAGCGGGGGACTTTTTTAGTAGACCTACTGTACCTATCAACTGAAAGTGCTCCTATACAATGAGAGGACTGCTCGAGCTCTTTCGTAACAAATTTCTCATGAACTGAATTCTCCGAATGTATGACTTCGTCGTTTATCTTTTTTTCAACCCGATAGTGTTTTTTATTGGTACTTGCCACGCAAAACATCATGAATATGACCATTATATGATTTCAGTCCGTTTATCATTACAAAACACTAGCGTTGATGTACGTTTCCACTTTCCAATGTATTGTCTCGATATACAGTATGGCAGCACAGACACCAAACGGCACATCACCACACGACGCGGCTGTCGTTCTGTCCCTGTCCCGACCGACGGCTAAACCATTACACCTCACCCCACCGGCCTCGGATCCCACCACCCACCGATCACAGCTTCAGTCCATCTGGCGCACAGGTCAGACCCCGACCCTCGCCGGGGGTCAACAGAAGCAGCACGCGCCGCCCGCGCACCTACACGGGACGGTAGCCGAAACCATACCGACCGACCGGTGATTCATATACGCAACTGCAAGTATTCTGCGGGCTATAAATGAGGCAATTCCAGCCCTGTCCCAGTGGGCTGGAGAAGGATTGGTATTCCAAACATTTACAAACATCTTGAGGTTGTTAGGTGAATTCGACATTCGTTGTTATTTTCATTCTGCTGCCATCATTTAGGGCTCAGAGACTGACCAACACTTGGCTTTACACTAAATTCCCATAGGACCTGTCCCTTCAATCGAACAATCAGACAACAGAGGTCGTCCACAAATAATATCGACAGAACTGTATAGCACCGCGCCCTACAGCGATAACAATCAAAGGCACGCAAATCACACACCAGGCACTGCCATCCCGGAACCAAGGGCGCAAAGACATCACAATAGCACACTTCTTTGGAATGATATTTCTATAGAGGTATGACCTATAGGTTCAGTCAGGGTCCATCAGTACCGTTCCGGATCTGTCGTCTCGATCGAACCACGCCTGTCAGCTGGAGCAGTGTCTGTCAGCTCGGTTTATCATGGCCCGTAAGCTCTCACCAGACAGGAAAAAGTCGCGGCGGCAGCAGCCCGCACACTCACTCAGCAGAACCAAGAACACTCGCCGTATCGTAAGGACGGATAATGGCGGACAGAATGCGCAAATGAAGAATAACGGCGACTTACAGGGCTCCGACTGCTAAGGCGGGGTGGGCGAAAATGCGAGACGGCTTGTACCTGTTCCAGAAATATGATCCAGACTCATAAGTTGCATAATGCATATCAAGAAGTATTCGATATCGTTGGTTGGCTAACGAAGCAACAAACATGATGCAACTGAACATGAGGATAGCAGACGCACAGCAATCAGCATGTTTCTACAAATGCATGGTTTAACTTTTTACCAGCGCATAGTTATATTGGCAGCCCTGCCACTGTCACAAGCCTCAGGTAAAGCTAGCAATTTGATAGAGGACCAACATTCAATTTAACCCCCGGTAGTTCTGGAAAGGTACTGCTCCATTTGGTAAATCCGCTAATGCCCAGACTCCAGTTCCCTTATCCCAATAATTGTACACACTGTGCGCTCATAGAGGGATTCTGCACCGTCACTGTGACAGGGCTCCTAACCGTCCTTCTGAAGGACAGAGGAGGGGAGGACCGGACAGAGGACAGACAAACACCTCAGTCGTTGTAACCATGGCGACCGAGTAGCGTAGTATCCATGGCAACAGGTACCGCAGCGGCGAGCTGGTCACTGCGCCGCCCGGCGTTGGATTATCGACTGATGGCCACCATTGGGTCTGCGCCACACAGTGGCGTGGAGGGCCGCGGCTGACTAGAACTTTGGTAAGAGAAGCACAGCCAAAGACAATGGCGTACACATCAAGCTAAGCAGAATGACTGAACAACTACCGAATGGACTGTCTTAGACCTTGACACGGATCATCCTCTGATTTAGTAAAACGATGGGCTGATGATGCCTATTTTGTACCAGAAGAAGAAAATTACGGAGTTTCGGCATTCACTCCATAAACTCAGTGGAACGATTCGGGAACAGGTAACCACTCAGTAAAAATAAAATGCAAAGCAAATTGACTAGATCTATCTTACTTGCGAGGGAAAAACTGAAACTGGCCTACATGAAAAATCCATCGCAACTTAGACCCACAAAAATAATACACTTCAATCCCACGAATCCCTGATAAAAACACAGTAGTTGCATTTTATCAACGGTATAGACAGGTCCTGACCCATAACAAGTAACCTGGTTTGAAATGACAAACCATCACACAACTACAGACCACACTATGGCGACATAGCGACTCCTAGCCGAATTCTTACTGCCGCTCTCAGACCCAGGAGACTAACCAAAACTGGCTAATAGATAAAATGAACGGATATGGTATATGTAAGTACATGGACGTAACAAAAATGCACTCGAATGAAACACTTAAAATGCACTCTGCGAGCAATTACGTCCACTCATCCTTTGATCTGAGACGTACCACTCGTTCCACACAAACGCAATGCCTACAGACCACTGGCAAGAGAGCAATGAGTGGATAAAACTTCAGCCTAACAAAGGTGCCAGGATCCGCGAGCCCCGGACTGGAAGCCACAACAATTGGCGACAGCATGATGATGACGATGACGAACGGCGAGATGCGGTGACGTCGGCGGCGTCCTAGGACGTCTTCTTCTGCGACTGCTTCATGCGCTGCTCGCGGCGCCGCTCAGCGTCGGTCACCTGCGCCGGCCGCAGCTCGCGGAACTGGCGCTGGGGGCGGGCGAGAGCGTCAGTCACAGGTCAGCCACAGCTCAGTCACAGGTCAGTTACAGGTCTCAGACACAGCCGGACACAGGTCAGTCACAAGTCGGTCACAGGTTAGTAGCACGTCAGTCTCAGGTCAGCCACAGGTCTCAGTCACAACTCTGTTACAGGTCGGTCACATGTCGAACACAGGTCAGTCACAATTCGGTCACAGGTCGGTCACATGTCGGTCACAGGTTAGTAGCACGTCAGTCTCAGGTCAGACGTAGATGAGACATAGCTCGCACACAGGTCAGTTACAGGTCAGTTACAGTTAAAGACGGGTGCAATTCTGATTGTAACTAAAATTGCACCTCTTCTTTGCATGTTTTTATTATCTTACTTGTCTTTAAAGGTAAGTGAAATTTATTATCCAGGAGTTATAGCTTTACAAAAACTTGATGGTTGCTATAAGTTGGTCGATTTAACCAGTAAAAAACAACAAATTGTATACAGGCATTAACAATGTCATGCATTTCACTTCACTAATGGACGCAGAAGTGAAACAATAGCATTGTCCTACTCTCACTCCGCTCGGCGCTTGCCGGGCTATATGTCTCCGAGGAGCCATTTCTGTCACTCAGACGGTGATATCGATCACAAACACAGCTCAGAGTGGCACCCTGTGGCTATTGTTTGGTGTTGGAGCGGCAGCCGAGCGTGGCTGATGCGTTCGCTTGAGCAGCTCAGGAATCAGCGCGAAACGGAAACGAAATGGAAACGGAGGTCATAGGTGGACGGGTCCAACGATCCTAGCACCACCTGTTGACTGTACCCGCAAGTTACGGTTCACGCCGTGGCATTTTGCAGTGCATTGAAGGGATGTCAATATTAGCTGATGACGTATTTGCAGCGATAAGTATTAGCTATATAACGATAATCTAGCAATCCCAGTGGTCGCATCATTAACCCGTTAACAGACTTATTTTCGTGTCCCTAGCTAGGCCCAGCATCGCCAACAGCTCCCATCTGGGCTCAGCCTTGCCGATACATTTTGCCGACGCCCCCAGTGCCGTATGCCGATACCCCTGCTGACTACATACCCTCTCGACAATTACAACCCTGCAGAAACCCCTGCCTCACTGCCTACACCCCTGCCGATACTAGTGGTGTCAATCGGAACTTGAATCTTCGGAATTCCGATTTTGTACAATGTCCAATTCGGAATTTGGTTGGACAATGACAGCAGGCTTTGGACAACTTTGGACAATCGCTTGCTACACCTCAATTTTTTTTTATAAAGTAATCGTGTTTAACATTGATTGGCCATTAGAAAGCTCAGTTTTCCATATGATTAACACTTTTGAGCTGGTAACGATACATTAAAAGCGAATCAAATAACGGTGTTGAGTGTAAACTATTGCGTAGATGTCGGACATCTTTGGACAAATGGCTGGCTTGGACATTTTTGGACGGACAGTCGACGTAAGTATTGGACATTGGACGGACATTAAACATACGTTTTCTGAAATTGACACCACTAGCCGATACCCAATATAGACAAGCGTCTGTCGACACCCCCTGCCGACCCCTCTGCCAACACTCCGACCCCGTCTCCTCACCAGCTGATCGTTATCGGGCACACGCGAGAGGAAGTCGAGCAGTTCGTTGTTGGGGATGGCGTTGGGGCGCAGCAGCTTCTTGGAGAACTTGTGCACGCCGAACAGCATGACCAGGTAGCGGATGGGCACGTTGTACAGCACGACGGCCACCACCGAGAGCACCAGCACGGCCAGCCACGAGAGGAACGGCACCGTGAAGTTAAACGTGCTGAAACACACAGCGGGCGTGACGCAGCCGTGAGGCGAGGGTAGGTGCTGAGAGAATCAGCGGTCATGGCGAAGGCGTGAGGTGGTGCAAGGTGCTGAAGCATATAGCGGTCGTGGCGAAGACGTGCAAGGCAGGTGAGGTGAGGTGGGTGAGTTAGCGACACGGAGGTTCATTGTAATGACAGGATGCTAGGATAATAGAGGCGGCGGGATGTGGGTGGTCGGGGCGATATGAGGCGAAAAAGGAGAGGAAGGAGGGATGAAGGAGAACAATAATATATGTATCATGGTAATCCATGAATGGCTACCAGACATTACAGGAGCAAACATCGATCATACAAATGGATATTCCAGCCCGATCCGTCAAACTCTTATTGTTCTAACATAATTCATTAGTCCGCCCATCCACAAAAGCTTCCGTCACATTTGAATGCTATCTCATTTTAGTGTTATACCATGCATCAGGCCAGCCACAGCCACCGATGAGCACCACACTGAGCGCCACAGGGGGCAGTGCGGTCGGTTCTGAGCGGCACCCACTTTTGGACACACTCGCCGAGCGAGGCGATGTAGCCGAGGATGTTCTGTACCATGGCCGTCACCTCCTGCACCGCCATCAGCTTCTCCTTCAACGACTTCTTCTCGTCCTGCAGCGACATAGGGGTCCTGACAGTCAGCCAGGGAGGGTTGTAGAACATGGGGACTGAGTATCATGTTAGAAGATATATTTGGAAATGAGACGAGGCGTTGTAATGGACAATGCTTGGACGGGGCCATGACGGGGCTCAACAAATCACCCGCGCGTGACATCATGGTAGTAATTCGTCAGCGCGGAAAGTTAAAAATGACTGGGAATGTCCATGGGTCATCAAGATAAAATAGATCCGCACTTTTGACCTTCTGTGGCTGTACTTCCCTACGCAACTGAAAGAGTATATTTGCCCTGTAATAAGACCCAGAAAAACATGCATCGAAAACGTTGAAGGATAAAATTCGTATAGATTTCTTGAATGCATGCACAACCTTCAAAATGCTTCGTAATCGTAAAACAAAGTCATTGGTAGCATAAATAACAGTAAATTATATCATGAAAATTGATAGGAAAGTCACTATACCCTACTTGTATTCTCAGGATTATGTTGACTAGATTCTAGTTATATTCTGGCATGTAGACATGAAATATATAGCATGAAATATATGTTATTACCATATACTATCTATCTAATTTGTTTACTTCTAGTAGGTCGTACCGCACCCGATATAAGGGAATACTGCTAGCCTATTTATCGTTCAGTAAATGCATGTAGGCCCCTTTCAATGCTTTTACTGGCATATGCGGAGTAAAACAAAATGAAAATCACGGACAGTGTGTTTGCTAACGGGTCAACCACAGCACTCGCCCGTTCTTTGCATCTTCAAAAGCCAGGACTGAAGTTCCAATCGTTACAATAATAAGCGGCAACCCAAGGCATAACAATCAGCATGCATCAAATGGAAACTGTGGGCAGCCAGCTACTGAACAGCAGCCGCGCGGGCTGCAGAAAACGCCCCACCACCGTCCACCAAACCGGCCTGTCCCGGCGCCGAGCGGCAGCCGGTCAGCTGGGAAAGTGTCAGACCAAACGCTACTCACATCTCCCGAACTCTTCTTGTCTTTGGCCTGTGGACACAGCGGCACATGAAAGGACTGTCTGGATAGTCAGGAGCTCACCTCGCTTCTCAGCAACCGTGATACCGTGAGGTGAGGGTCACACAGACATGCTGCACCGTCTACCAAAAACGCTCAGACACAGTCAAATAGCGGAGAAAAAGACATCGAGTAGTGGCAAAAGTCAGTGCTCCGGATGAGTTAGTCGGGTCGCGTGGAGGTTAGTGCACATTCCCCTGACAGGTGAAGTGAGTTAGTCACTCTCAGTTGCGCGCAAAAGGAATACAAGGTTCAGCCGATACACAGAGACAACTACACACGACGTGAGGGAGGATGGCCTGTCGAAGCAGCGCCACACACCTTATCCTTGTCGTCATCTTCGTCGTCGTCGTCGGCCACGTAGTCGTCGTCGTCGGCGCTACGGAAGCCGGCGGTGACGAGGTTCACCTGAGGAGCACGTCAGCACGTAGTTACAATCGGTAAGGCGCCAGCACGGGTACAAAGGCACCCTCAGTGACAGGCCCTCCTCAATGACAGCACCCTCAATGATCGGTGTTGCTGCTAAACAGTTGTTCTCAGAAGAAGTCGCAGTTTATAAGTGTCGGTTGAGAGCTTGTTGAAAGTCAGCGACTGAATTGCTTACTTATTGCTTCATAAGCACGCAATGCTAAGCTAAGTACAGATCTGGCACTTCCGACGAACACCTGATAGCCTTAACACAAAACGATGGTAGCAAGCCGGTACTTTTGCACCGTTCCATGCTTCTATCCTCAGGATACTGAAATCCTTCTCCTCCACGCCACAACCCCCTCCGGGCTGGACAGGCAACTTTATCTCATGCGGGCTGCTCCATTGGAGCGGCACCGCTGCTCCCGAGGGAGCGCACCCCGTAGCCGGGTGCAGTGAGTGTCTTGGGGCTGGGTGGCCTGTCCTCTGGACGGGCTCAGCCCCGGCGACTCACTAGGGTGCCTGCCCAGACCAATGTCTCCCCCTACATCCTATCATCCTCCCGGCTCTGAAAGGGTCTCATTGGACCGAAAGGGCCTAACCCAACAAAACAAAACAAAATCGGTACTTTCTGCTGATATGCCCATGCTCATCAAATATCTTAAATATCTTATCCGTCGGTATTTTTCATATCTAAGACGTAACAACAGGGCCACTTATGATTCTACGAAAGATTGAATATTCTTAAACCATCAGTGTTTGATTTCTTAGCTGCGCAAAAGAAACTCCAGCTATCTCTGACGATTATTAACAGAAGTTACCAATAATCAACTACTAGAGCTCCTGACGTCACTCACCACCCAGCCCTTGAAGAAGACGACCAGGAGTGCGACCGGCGCCATGTACAGCTCGAACGAGTAGGCGCCCAGCATGAAGGCGAAGAAGGCCGCTATCGTCCGTGGTTTCGACTCCCAGTCGAAAATACTCCTGTGCACACAGACACAGTAGACTGGTGTGAGTGGATAAACATGGTGCATTTGTTTGATATACATGACAGGCACAGCAGCTGCCCAGTGCAGTTGGGGCATGTATGACTGGTGGCTTTTTGGCGGTAGCAGAAATGGAGTCATGTTAAAATCACGGGCGTCGCTAGTGTCACATCGTCCAGTGAGACTGGACAGTGACGACAAACACAAGTCAAAAGTAACGTAAGTACGTAGAAATGAGAAGCATTTGAGCATCAACGCATGGACTATGTGAGTGGACATGACATCTGTACGACTTAGTTGCTATGTACAGCGTGTCCCAGAATTGACCGAACACTGTTAATCAGTACATATGATACGGGAAAATCAATTGCACTTTTTTCTTTTCATCGTCCGATACCGCCAGTAAGGGTAGCTTCGAAATGGCACTTGCAATAGACACGCAAGCTACAACATTAGCCGGCAATTGTAGCTAAATGCCAGACGATGCTGGCTTGAGTCGTTTTACGGATCTCCCGAAACTGGTTGTAAGACGGGTTTCATTGACCTCTTGCCGGTGGATACCATAAATATTTTCGATAAACTTTGCATCCAAACTGTTCCCAGGCATTCTCTCCCAAAACCAAAAATTCTGCCTACACCGCTGTTGCGCTGTTTTTTTGTTTTTTTTTTTTGACATCTGAAGTGGAAAACCTCCATGTCTGAACATGGTGTGACCTTTGGAGTCCAACAGATTTGGTTTCCAGAACAAACCCGTTTATGGCCATTCAGTTCACGACAACCAGTTTTTGTAATGCTTGAATGCTACCGCAGTAGCAATCTGTGTTAACGGTCGTCTTTGAGGCATCGTATCAAGCTGAATGAGTGCACCGTGGCTCAAAATGTCTCACACTTTGATTTTCGACGAGTGCCTGGCCGTCTCCGCTGTTGGGGCGTTGTCACCATCTGTCGTCCACACACGACTTTTTTGTCGCTTCAAAGGGCAGAATACCTTCGTAGGACCACAAAGTGTGTTTCCATTCACTTTTTTGTTGCATATGTTATGATTTATTGCTGCTTTGTAGCGATTTGCGCTGTCTTTCCGTTAGTTTTGGCATATTTTTCAGATGAGGGGCCCCAAATTCCAAAATTTTGTCGAAGATAGTGGTCAAAAGTAGACTGATGTTTCGTAGCTAGCCCTGATCTGTCGTTTAGCTTGTTTTTGGGTAGATGGGTGAAGTTTGTTGTCCATGACATGGCAGCCAGCCGCTTGACGACTGGTGCATGCTCCTTTTTGGTCGCGCCCAGGCTTTTCGATCAGGTAATCTCCTGCTCTCTCTGGCTTCGCTCGCTGATATAACTGCGATTTGCTCATCCCTGCCTGATTGCAAATGAGCTACTGGAGCTCTTCAGCAAGAACCATGCCGAAAGTCCGTTTACGAACTTCAGAATTGCACTTTATTCACCATGATTGCCTTTTGGTTGCTGAGGCTGAAAACGAAAAGGGACTACTCTTTGCTGACTCTGGATAATAACTGACTCGAGTCGTGACCGGTCATCAAAAACACAGTCTCCAAGCTCGATAGCTATGATATGTCTTATAAAAGTATAATGCTCGTATCTAATTAGAATCGAGCGCAATCGTACTTTTAGCCAGGAAATAAATGTTCGGTCAATTCTGGGACACCCTGTATATTCACACAGAGTTCAGCGTCAGTGAACTTTGGCTGTGTGATCAGTGAACCGACTTGATGAACTTTGCTCCTTCGGCAAAGCCGGCGCCCATCTCCTTGAGCCGGTTGACATTTCTGATGAAGACTGCCCTCTTGAACTTGAGTTCTGGCCTGGTGTACTTCTCTTCGCGCGGGTTGAACGTGCGAATCGCTGCCCGTGCCTGAAGGTAAATAAATGATGTCAACAAAATAGAACGTCAACAGCAGTAACTAGTAACGTCGGCGCAAGGAAAAGCCACATCATTGATGAAAATGACAGGAAATTAGGGACATCAAGACAAAGAGGTGGCAGCGTTGACGTACGAGCATTGTGCAAGTCGTTGTCCAGTGAAAGCCAACCAAAAAAGCAAAGAAAGAAACGTAAAGAAACCGGAAGACAGCGACCATGTACAGGAAGGATATCAGATTTCCTGAATTCCTGTAATCAGTGAGACACACGCTTTGACCAACCACTTTCTAGTGTTATATAGCAACAGTCACATCGACAATTATTAGAAGTATTCTGAGACTTATCTTCCTGAAATAAGGAGCAACGCAATATATTCATAACCAGAGATTCTCCCTGGCGAAAAACAAATCACCACATGAGGAGGTTCGATCGCGCGCTGCTGGAGTACAAACACCCTCAGCCGGGCCGCACCGGTTCTGTTATCTGCTCTTTGGAGGGGCGCTCCATCACGACCTGTCAATACTCCAGGATCGGGTGTTTTGTTTGTGGAATCCACTTTCGTAGGAAAGGATAAACGGCTAGGGCGAGCCACGCTAACCCTCGGTATAGATTACCGGACCGCGGCGGTCGACCGCTCCTTTCTCTGCGATGAAAATAAGGATGTAGCTATTTGGCTTCCTCCCTACCATCTCCACCCACTTAGGTAAAGTGATATTGATTTTCAGGCTGCATAATGTATGCAGACATGCTCAGTACAAACGATGAACGGTAATAGCTGCGATGAACTACGATATGACGTTATGACGTTCCCGCTATCAGCGACCCTATTTCCGTACACGCTTTCTAAGATAGCATGGCTGTGCCAGCCGTCACATGACACCATGCGGCTCAAGCCGGGATTTATCCCGGCTTGAGCAGACTCGATGATTAAATTCCATCATTCGCTGCGCTTTAGCGCAGCGAGTGGCCCGGGTTGGTCTATCAAAGTTCAGCAGGCAGACAGCTTAAACCGATTACATATATCCAAAGACTCGAGCTGCGGTGCTGTCTGAAATAATTATGAGTGCCAAATGGAGAATATGTCAAATGGAGGTGTTTTGTGGATACATATTCCTACAAAAGTAGTAAGCGACATATAGTTATTTCCGTTCCTTTTTCAAAAAGAAAGAAAGAAAGACGTTTAATGATTGGCTTTTAGACAGTAACAGGCCTAAATAGTTATGTGCTAAGCAATATCCAATAGCATACGAAAAAGGACGGTGTGCGTAACAGACACAGTTACGATTATGCCAATATGTACTGCTCCGTGCTTACCGGGTTCCAGACTAAAACCATTTCCTTAGTGCTTACCGGGTTCCAGACTAAGTCCATTTCCAGCATCACTTGAGGGTTGTTGCCCTTAGCTCTGCCCAGCAGCTTTTTGTCTTTGAGCGCGTACCATCGTCTCTCTCCTGGTCGGATCTGAGGAGGAGACACACATCGTCCGTGGTGGGATTTGAGCTGCTGCGACCGGCCCGATACAGACAGAGCGACGGCCTCCTATCGGATAAACGGACCGGCAACAGGCAGCGCGTCCTCTGCAGATAATACTGTAAACTAGCGGTCCCGTTTGACACTTCGGCAGCTCCGTAAACAAACAGCAAAATGTTACATGCAGGAATCACAGCAATCTAGCACAGCCTAATCTTTAGCAGAGGGATTAATACTTTTACGAGGAATTCGACACGTCTTTACCTTTGTCGAGACATACACTACCTATATAATTTAAGAAGCTCGATTAGTCTTTACCTTTAGCAGAGGGATGGACACTTTCCCGAGGAACTCGACCTTGTGGTCCTTGTCCTCGTCATACACAGTTACTTCCAGCACGCTGTGGATGTCCTTCACGTTGCTGCAAAAGATCAGCACAGGTCATCGATCTATGCTCGTCGTCTACCATTGTTACTCTCGGTCTCACCGTTGATTCAGTCTTACCACGATCAAGTTTTTCGGACTACATCGCAACGTAGTTCTTAATTCAGGTAAGTTATGCGATAAATGTCCTATAAAAGGGTACAACCGGTTAGCTCATAGCCCACACATAACTACGGACTTTCTAGGAGTACGATAAAGAGCTAGCGGCTGTTTGCGAATATCAAATGTCCTCCCAAACCCCATAACTGACAGAGCACGACTCACAAGAAGAATATCTTATTCCACTGCGGCGACAGGGTCTTGTACTCTGTCTGCGTCTGTAGACGCGAGTTGACCAGCTCCAACACGCAGAAAGGGTCCGACTTGCCGCCAATGTCGGCCGACGCCAGACCCATGGCCTTGAACACCTTCACCGTGAGGTGGCCAACCTCCTTCACCTGCTTCAGCGTGTTCCGCAGGTTCTGTAACAGCGGAAACAGTGCAACGTCAGGTGGGAACTTCCAAACGGGAGAGTAGAGAGCTTCATTTTACTGCGAGCCGCTGCGCTTACCCGACTGACAAGAATGGGAGCATTTTCAAGTTCCATGTAAGTGTGAATGTGACTCGCATATTGATAAGCCAGATCAAACAAACGAAGGACGAACTGTCAAATGTCATGAACCGTCCGAATACAAAATGCATGTCTCAGGGAGTCTCGTTGCATTCTAAATAACCCAGTGTTTCAATTAAAACCCACTTAATCTCCCCAGCCCAGCCGTGAGCGTCATTAAATTACAGCAGGTCGTCTCTGCCGAGTCAGGTCGTCTCTATACGACACCGCCAGGATGCCATGAAAACCCGAAACGGCCGGCACCGGGAAATGTCACCAGCAGTCTGTCGCCACGACCGACTCCCGGGGGCGCGGGTGCCAGTCAGGTCAGTCCAATATGACCCCTGGCGCCCCTGGGGGCCGCACCGACCGACCACGTCCCGCCGTATGACACCGGCCGCCGCGCCGGTGCTGGTCCCTGGGGTCGTGCCGCGGCTCGGACGATGGTGGTGTGACATATTCGCCAGCTGGCTTACCCCGCGGCGCTAGCGGGGCGGCAAATATCGCTCCGGTGCTACACTTCCAGGAAATTGCGGGGTACTTTCACGGCTGTATGAAATGTCACAGTCTGGATAAATTTCAACCACTACCCAAAGTGAAATGGTAAGCGACCGCCGGAAATTTAGTCTCTCCGCTCTCAAGTAACGCCTGCAAAAATATGCCCCAAATTAAACTTAGTAGTAATCCACATAAGTTCCTCCTGCACCAATCATTTCCACCCCTCGCGATACCCAATCCCTCTGCTCCCTCTCTCCCCCTAGACGCTCTCTCCCTCCTCTCGCTCTGTGTTCGCTCACAAACTGTTTTCGGATGGTGTCCACTTGCTCGGGGTCCTCCTGGTAGGTGAGCAGGTCCGAGATGGTCTCCACGTTGGTCATGCCGGACACGGTCAGCAGGATGAACACAGAGCCGGCGCCGTCCTCCAGCTCACACCACAGACGGTGGGTCTTCTCGCGCTCCAGCTTCGAGATGTCCACCGTCGTCCTGCGAAATACATTGCATGGGTAGAGTCACTAGGGGGTGAGTTTACAGGGCACAGCTATTGACGATAGGATTTTAATTAGCAAGTAGCATCAAAACGTATCAAAAGAAAGGAAACTGCGAAAAAGCATAGCTGAGGTACGACTCAACGATACCAATGCCTACAATTTAGCATTCACGCTCGCTTATCAGTTTCACATTCCATTTAAATTGCATCCATTACCTACGTCGATCCTTCTAAAAACGGAGTCCCTTCCCGTTCCAGCATCCCGCCTAGACTTCTCACCGTCTCCCAGACCCCTGTCCCTTCCTCCCTGCCGTATGACAGCCCAGCCCCCTCAGACCTTCCTCCCTCCTCCAAATCCCTGCCAGCCCTTCCAGACCAGACCACTCACTTTCCCATGAAATCATCCTTGCTGCGCGCGTCGTGGTCGAACACCTCAATCTCGAGGATCTGCGAGCCGCTGTCGTACAGGTGCATGTCGAACTGCTCCAGCCAGCGAGGCGTCAGCGTGCGGTCCTGTACCTTGCTCTTGTACTTCTCGGCACCCAGCCTGTCCGAGGGGAGGGGTAGGGAAGGGCGGAGGGGGGGGGGGGGGGTCAGCACGCATACCGGAGGTCATCAGACTAGTACGCTAAGGCCGAGGATTAATTTGCTAATTAGATGGACCTGTAATGGGAAGGGCTACATGCAGGCTAATGTAATGATGCCACCCGAGGCTCCTTCTGTTAATTATGTAGCTCCGTCGTGGAAGGGCTGTGCCCTGTGCAGTTGCTGCATGCCGCTATGTTTATGTGTGATTTTCTTTAGGCCCAGAATGTCTCTGTTTTTATGATAGGTTATATAAACAAAAAAGCATAGCTTCGTTGCGAAATTGCACGCACATTACAATTCTTACCTGAGTTTGACGTATGGGTCACTGGTTCCCTCCGAGTCCATCGCCATGAGATCCTTGGCCTCCACCAGCACTATGGTGACGACGCTGCTCCACTGCTGGTTCTTCAGCTTCTTCGAGTCGGTGCTCCTGGAGCCCGCCCCGGCCAGCTGGGGAGTGGACCACATAGTTACGGACATCGCGCTACAAGGATGGTTCACCAGCCAAACAACAAACTTCACAACGTTATCGCGGGCGCGCGTCCCCTAGCCTAAGTCACGTGACCGCGACGGACGTCTTGGCTGCGCAGCGGCCGCGCGCTGGTTCATTGCCCCTAGAGGGCCAAACAGAGAAGTCATGGTACCACAAAACTTTTCGCTCGTATACGATTGGAAAAAGCTCCTAGCTGCGCTAAACGCCGATTTCCCGTGGCCATCGGCATCGTATGCTGCTGCGGCAGCCACCCAAAGCTATTCCATTTAAGTTCAGTGCCGTGAAAACTGTATTTACATCGTGTTTCACTGCAGTGCGAGGGTTTTCTGGTGCCAATCAGTGCAATAAATTTCATACTACTAGCCATCTGCCAACGCGCACAAAGATAAGCATTGTTCTTCACAATAAGATATGATCGCATCTATATAACACTACATAAAGCCCAGTGAGCCTTGCAAGCGTGCAAAGAAATCCCGTCCCCGAAATTAATTGCGTGTTATTTACTGCATTGTGGCTTTATTCGCAATCTGACATGCGTGTTTCAGGCAGAGTACATTTTAAAGCAGCTGATTAGTTTGGTCGAAGCCCGTTCGTTATTATTCACAGCCCGGAAGCGCTGTTAGGGTCCAGCAGACATGCTCGTATACGAATGAGTGAGGGCTTGCCTTTGTGACACAATCTGTCGGCGTGAAGCTATGCCTGCGTAGCCAGTCCCTGATACCAGCAGGATCCGGCGTCTGGCGCAGCGACGCCGCCGTCAGAAAAAAATATATTTAATTATTTCAAAGGCTTCAACGCAGGTTCAGTTGACATACAAATGCTAGCAGGTTATGGAATCATCAAAATGCTTGATAAATCACTTAGTTGTCTCAGATTAAGATGCCATGCAAAATATCAAACATATACTCAGTGTTGATAAAAGTTTGGATGCAAAATGAATAGTAAACTGAGTAATCCAAAAAAGTGTCAGCTTTTAGTGGTGCCTTACCGACAAAACTTTTGGACCCCAACCTTCAAGTCTGGCTAACTAGACGGGTTATTTGTCAGTGACACCTGCGGTATTATCCCCAACAATGTCTAATGAGTGTAATCTCGAGGTTCAAAATACTGATTGTCTGGACACACGACAGGAGTCATATGTGGCGACCAAAGGGTGTTCCACTGCACAGGTCCCCCGAGAAGGCATTTAGCTGCAGTCGGAGTCAAGGCCGTATAGTCGGAGTGCTTGGTGTGTAGCTTTGTAGCTACCTATTGTTTATATAAACACATTATTAACCGCAGTTTCCACACACCTCTGGATGGTTGCTAAGCATCAAGTATTGCGCAGCTAGTATAAATAGATACGTGAAAATTAAATTATATGCATAATAGCTCTGAAAGGTCCATATAAAAAATAACACTACATAGAATATAGTACATACCATAATCATCACAACATACTATCAGTGCTTAGGGTAACGCCCACATCCTTCGTTGTGAGCCCTGACCAATGACCATGAACTGGCTATCTATCCATGCCCTTCCCGGAACAAGACAACGACCTCTTCCTGCCCACAGGAGGATAAAAGTAAGGTTGGCACCATTGTCTGTCCACCCTTCCTTCCTGGCATTGATAGTTCGGTATTGTACCTTCTTACTATATAAAACATTTGACAGGATACCGCGGAAGGTAAAGTAACTTATCGCGCCTATCGCGGTAAAGTTGGTGTGACGAGTTTCGGCAGTTACTATCAAGTATCAACGAACTCTGCTCATCTTGGGCAAGGTGGAAACAATGAGGTAGCGCAAAATAACCACCCATGCTTTGCCTGGAGGTTTCTAGCGTAACAGAGGCATGAGTCAAGTTTTCAATTTATGGTCTGGTTCTGAACGTTTTGTCAGAAACTGAAACGGTGTCTTGTGTTTGCTATGCAACATGGCCTAGGCTCCATGTCGCAGCCAGAAAAAACTGTCGTACATAACACGCAATGCTCGCATATTTCAATGCATTTACATAATGTAAATGGTGCATAATGGTGGTAATGTAATTAAATTACATTACACCATAGACATGCGCATACCGCGGTATACAGAGGTCCGCAATCATTCAGTAACATTAGCAAAACGCAGAGTTGACAGAAAACAGACAGTAACTGAAGAACAGAGGCATGTCATAGCTCATGTCACGGCATAGTTAGAATGTCCAAATGTCATAATTAGTCCAAATCAGGCTTATCCTCCGAATACAATCAACTGCGAACCGTTACACGACCACGCCTTGTGTGAGCCTCCCTGTCCCGGTTTTACGTCAAAGCATAACTGACCTGCTCCCGTTCCTCTTTGGATTTTGGCACCAGGTTGGCAGCCAGTGTGATGCTTCCCTGCTCGCCCGACTTGACAGAGTCAGACAGGTTCAATGTCATCTCCTGCTCTCTGAAAACAGGAGCAGAACAGCGCTGGTAAATTGATATACTGTCCAATCATGTGGGGCGAAAAAGCAGACTTTCAGTGTTAGTTTCAGTGTTTCAGTGTTATTTTCAGTGAACATATTGTATCGGTCCATCGTTTAGCACGGATGGTAAAATGTAGGTAGATATAAAAAAATTATATGAGTAATAAGACTTTCCTGTAAAAAAAAAATCGCCTCAGGTTGGATATTTCAAAGATATCGTTACGAAATCAAAGCTTAAGGGTAGCTGACGGAAAACATCTACCTATATCTCATGTAAACGTCACCAGAACATCAAAGTGAAAACACTATAACGCCCAGGATTATCGGCGAACGCCACCGCTCGCCCATTGGGTTCAAATGCTCTGAGGTCCCGCTCCACCACATCAAGTTGTCGTTATCGATGGAGGCTGCTCACCTGTTGGGTTCCAAGGTACTGAGGTCCAGCTCCGCCTCACCCATAAAGTCGTCGTTCATGCCCCAGTCATGGTCGTACACCTGACGAATTATTGAGAACATCAGGTCATGTAGTCAAACGATAACGGCTGACTTCGTAAGGAACGCCTCGGCCACCAGCTGGAGCGGTTCTTAGTATCGTTAAAATTATGAGTAAATAATATTTGAGCTGTGTGCTAGTGGTATGTCTCGGAAATATGCTTCACATTCAGTTTTCAACTCTACCAAGACGCAATCACGGGAAGATAACACTGGCAAACTGTCACGAAATAGCAAAACGACACACAATTAACACACGATTATAATTGCGCCTCAGCTACAAATACAGAACATCAGAAAACAAAATGAAATAAAAGTCACCACCAGCGAGTTTCAACTGTCCCAACCGATTTTAACTGTCCCAACCGACCTTGATCTGTAGCGGCACGTAGGGGTCGTCAATGGGAATCTGAAACCACTCGTCCCAGAGAGGGTTCAGCGTCTTGTAGACGATCTTGGACTTGCAGACCACCTTCCCGCCGAGCTTGAATTTGACGTACGGGTCGCTGGTCCCTGAAAATAACGTACACAACATCGAATCCACTTCTTATATTAAAAAAAACATGCATTGGGATTGGGGGAACATAAAGAAAATGCCTTCCTCCTTCAGCTGAACCACTTTCATTAAGACTTAAATATTTTCCGAGTGCAGTATTTGTCTATGAGAAGCGTCGGCGTTAGTGACCGGCAATGTCGGCGTCAGTGACCGGCAATGTCGACGTAAGTGACCGGGGATGTTGACGTCATGGTGACCGGCTAGCGGTGTTGTGTGTCAATGGGCTCGAGCACCAGGCTGGTGTTGGTGGTGCCGTTCCCATGTTTTGACTTTTGAGGCTGGCCAGTGGCCATTGTCGCGAAAAAAATAGAAAACATGACTACTTAAACCTCAAATAACACACCAGTCCATTCAGTCATGTAACTCAAAGAGGGGCGTGGCAAGCCCTACGGGACTTCTGTGAAAAAGCCGTCGTGAGTACGTTGTGAAGCGGGCTGACTGGCAGAAATGTGTTATGTTGCGTCGCTATGCCGGCGGACTTGCTGAGTTGTTGTGTTGTTGTTGTGTGTTTCGGTGTCGTATTGTGTCGCGTTGCATGCAGTCTGACTGAGCTATGTGTTGTACGAATATTACAGGCCTATGTGGTCAGCGCATGTGCTGAGCTATGCGCTGACAGCGCATTGCGCTGTGTTTGGTAGAGGGCGGACTGGGCGGCTGGGCCGGCGAGTCTGACCACTGCACTACAGGGTGTCTCAAAAGTTCGCTTACACATTTCCCATGTCAATAAAGCATATAAGAACCGGCCAAAAATCTAAGGTTTTGGTGTCCGTGTGTACACTAGACAAATATGCATGCTTTGACAACTGATTCGGAAGGTTGGAAACCAAACCCTTTGCTGTATCTCCAAAAATATTTGCCCATACCGATATTCGTCACTCCGTCAGCTGCCGGATGCTGATAAAAGGTTACCAGCTTTCAAGCTCTTGTAGGGGAATCCCCTGCAGTTTCTGCGTCGGATTTAGGTTTGACGAGCTCCCCGGCAACATCCGCTTCTCCCTGAAAGCCGACAGCTTGCATCGACACCATCCGTGAGTATTTTGTAGGTCTTCTCTGGCGCTAACTCCTTCATGTATGACTGGCGCCGACTTCCCAAGCACCATTTTTCTTTTCAAAACAACCCCATTCCTGAACAAATGGGAAGTGCCAGGGGCAATTTTTTCGCAGCATATCGTAGCAGAATGTGTCGGCCATCTGTTTCTTAGACACATTTGGCAAATTTTGCAAATCCCGAACGCTCGTCATTCCCAATGCCAAGACCTTCGCTGGGTTCCGGAGTGTTTTCCTCAGGAGAGGTTCTGCTTTGTAAACGGCCAAAACCTGTCCATCGTGCGGTTTTGTCCGGATTTTGTGTGTAAAAGAAAGCTATTTGCTCCAGATCTGCCTCTTGAAACTTCGTTAGATAAAACTTTACATTAATTGACACTTTTGGAGGGTCACTTGTCCTCGGCATTGACGATTTTCGCATTATTTTCCCTCAAAATTTAGCGTTATAGATATTATAAACAATTTAAAATGATATTTTGTCTTTATTTTATGATGACCTGCAATTTTTGAAACTGGGTAACCTCTGTCTGTGAGCTTCTAGTCAGTTTTCAATAGTTAGGACTGCATTTTCAGCTGCTTTCCGGAGCACGAGTCCGCTGCGGTACAAGGGTCGTTCAAAGCGCTGTTAGTCTCGCATGGTTTTGTCCTTCAAAAATTTTAGCCACCGTTTTTATTAGATGACCAACATGTTGTAATCATCCTCGCCGACACTTTGCCATGTGTCATTTCCGACCTAACCATTCCCATTACTCGTGAAGCAGAGAGTTTCTCAGCCGACCCGAGTATGCGACCTCCATTGGCATGCCTGATCCATGGTCAGAGGTGAACCCTTTTTGTGAGCTCATGAAGTGTCGAATGCGCTTGAAAACAATGAAGCTGCTTGAGGAAGGTTGTTACCAATGCCCATGCAAAATTTCGACTGTTAATTTCTTGTTGATTCAGAATTATTGACAAAAAAGCATGGCTGGTACCTGTAAGCGAACTTTTGAGACACCCTGTAGGTCAGGCGGCCTTGTCAACCACCCCGGACTGGCCCGCCCGGTCGGACAGCAACTCGACACTAGTAGACGGGGATCGATTGGCACCGCCACTGACCGGCCACGAGCCACGCTGCAGCTTTTACGGGCCGGCAAGGCAGTGGACAGTGGTCACTGGACAGCAGTCAGGGCTCAATGGACAGTGGACAATGGACAGTGGTCAATGGAATTGGACACTGGTCATCATCATCATCATCATGTATTTCGGACAACATCCATAAAATGGTTTTTCAGCAATCCACGTCATCTGACAATAAAAGCGACAATGAAAGACACACAGATACACACACAGAAACATGTACCTAGCATGACAGTAATCACAAACAAGTGCATAAACCTAAGTGCGCAATCGACATACCTTTCTTAACCCGCGCCCGGCTGGGGGTCCTGGATTTCCACGCCCTGCTGGGGGGGGGGGGGTGTCTGAACACCCCCCCTTCTAACTCGGCTCCTGGGCCACGTAGCGATACGCGGAAGGCGGCGTTCGAAAGAGCGTCAAAAATAATGACGAAATCACTTCGGTCAATTTTTTGGTCAGGTCAAAGGTCAGGTCACCAGAGGTCATTGAAGGCAAAATTTCGCCGATTTCCAGGTCGAATGTCGAAAATTTCCAAGAAGCCAACGCATAACTCGGGAACCAATAGAGCTACAGCGCCGCGGAAAAGCGCATTCGATAGCCCTATTAACGCCCTTTCTGAGTAATTTTCTCAGATTTGACTTAACGTCAACGGTTTTGCCTGCAGGGGGCAAAAACTGCAAAAATAGCCGATTTTTTTTGGAAATAGTTTTTCTGCAATAACTTTCGACCCAAGCCTTGTACGAGCTTACTTTTACCGGCATCGTGTTCCTCTCGTCAAGACGCATCGAACGAACTATAACTTGACCTTGAAAGGTCAACTTGAAAATTTGACCTCAGGTCAAGGTCATGACCTGACCGGAAAGGGTCATGTTGCATATCAGTCGATCCGTATCGTCGAGCTGAACACATCTAAGGCGTTTTCATCGCTCTAGCATGCCTCTATCAAAAGTTATTTGCGAAAAACTGTTAGATACCATTCGTGACCTAAGATGACCTCAGGGCATAAACAAGGGTCACGGACACCATTTTCATGTTCAATGTGTCTAAACCACTTGTAATTCGGTGTTTGGGAGTGTTTATAATGTCTTTCGTCCAAAAGAGGCGCATTTCAATTTTCTCCCATTGACTTATAATGGGGAGGTCGCAAAATTGACCTGACCTAAGGTCATCGATATCAAAATTCTAAGATATACATTTTGTACGTGCTATCGCTCTTAGCAATCGCTGAAAGTTTCAAAGCGATCGGTCACTCGGTGTAGCTATGACAGACATTGACACTTTTTATGAGGTGAGGTCACTTCAAGTGACCTGGTGACCTGACCTTGAATGACCTAGGTCTGAAATTTTCACAACATGTGTAGAATTGATGCATGATAAGGTGTACCGAAAACGGCGGCGCTCCGCGCCGCCGTTTTTGAGATATTCGCGAAAAACCACAAGGGGGGGTGTTCAAACACCCCCCCCAGCAGGGCGCGGGTTAAAAGCAGTCATATTTGGTGATGCTCTGATCTCGGGGGTCAGGCAATGGTCAACGAGCAGTCAGCGTTCAGCGGACAGTGGTCACCGGTCAGTGAAAGATCGGTGGTCAGCGGTCAATGAACGATGGTGTCAGTGGCTAATGGGCAATGGTCAGCGAACAGACAGTGGCCAATGATCAGCGTTCAATGGCTCATTGGTCAGTGGTGAACGGTCACTGATCAATGGCTCACTGGCTAAGTCAACAGCTGCTAGTGGTTGGTGGTCACTGCAAGAAGGCCAGCTATCATGAACGATAAGTTCAGTGCAATGCTCGCTATTGCCAGGAAATCGTTACCTGCTGTTGTGTGAGCATTCACATGTCAGCTAGCCATGCCTATGAATTCCACAGCCGAGCGGCAGCTCCCGTGGGAATTCAGCAACAGAAGGACGGCCGTGCCCTCGGGCGCTGAATGCCGTCTAATCATGGGTCCATTGACACATCAGCCTATGTTGCAGCTTCACGGCTTGCTGGAGACGATGGGTACTTTACGGCAGACGCCGGATCGTACGGACGAGCAGACCATGGGGAGGAACGGACAGACCAACAGACCAGAGAGGAACGGACAGACCAACAGACCATGGGGAGGAACGGACAGACCAACAGACCAGGGAGGCACAAACGGACCTTCTGACTGGAGACTGGAGAGCAACGAACATACCACTAGACCATACCAGAGAGGAACGGGTGGACATCGGATCAGAGACGAGCGGGTGGACCAACGGACCACCGCTCGTCCTGACCTCGGCCCTGACCTCCTTCCCGCCCCAGGGAGCGGAAGGAGTGGGCGCGAGGTGATACGTCACTCCCAACGTCCCCGCTGCCACTGTGATTGAGCTACCATTTCGGCAGAGGGCTGTTGGGCTGATTTGGTTCCTTTGTTGACCCCTGACCGATGGGCCGGCCAGTCGGTGGGCGCTGTCGCTGGCAGCGTCTGTTCGTCCACCGGAGGGGGGAGGGGGGTCCTTTCTCACGTTGGTCGTTTGGGCCACGTCGGTGGACGGGGAACTAATGACCCACAGGGCCAATGTCCAGCGGGTCGTGGGCGAAAATGGCACGCCGTGCACGGCCGCCAGGGCTGACCTTTCCGTTTTTACCAGTCCAATTGTTTGAAAGCGTTAGCTGTAATCCGATTATATCTGAACTGGAAACTTTAATTGGAAGCCTTATCATCAAATGCAGGCTGCGATAAAATGCAATGTAAAATAAATATTAAATATCTTAAAGTAAAATATTTACAGTGTAGTGTAATTAAAATGAGTGAGTAAGAAAAGGAACGAGTGAGAGAGCTACAAGAAAAGTGAGAGGAGAGAGCAAGCAAGAGAACGGGAGTGGGATACAGATTACAGAACCTCAGAGTGATAAAAAGACAGACCAACCGAGAGACCGACCGACCGATCGACGGACAAACAGGCAGACCGGCCGCAGACCGACAGACCAACTGACCGGCCCTAGACCGACTGACCGACCGATCGACCGACAGACCAACCGACAGACCGAACGGCCGATACACACACAATCACTAACTCGCTCTCACAGACTCTCACCGCTATTGTCCATGGCGGGCAGGTTTCGGCCGTGTTTGAGGTAGACGTCCAGCACGAAGAACTCATGCTGCCGCAGCGCTGCATGCTGGGCAGAGTCCTGCGGCGAACGCAAACACAACGGTGAGGTCAGCGGTCTCCGTCGACCCAACTACGACCCGACGGGACGGTATTTTAACGGTGGTGTAAGCAAACAACACACGGCATGTGGCAGAGAATGCGACTGGGGCGTTAAGCCGTACGGCGCCGGATCAGTAGTTCGGAGATAGGGTCGAGGAGTTGGATGTGGTTATCTGAAGGAGATAGAGCAACAAGTGGTTCAGGAAACACGATAGCACAGGTAGCTAAACATGTAATAGGCATTAGTTTCTGCGCTTCAAACGAATTTTAACAAATGCTGATCGACGCCAACAATACAGGTGCAAGACAGCAATGATAATAGTGAATTGACTAGCACGGATATATCGCATTCAACAACAGCATTTACTGCACAAGAAAAGTCACACAATATAGGAACACACAAAAAAGACGACAGATCAAGATCATCAGTGCAACATCTCGCATTAATATATCTGGGACCTCTGGTAAAACCCTGTCGCATCATTCCGCACACAAAAAAAGCAATAATGCCCAGACAACAGACAGTGACAATAAAAGTCATTTTTTACTTTAGTGGCTATGTCAGGATAAGCCTTTTATGCCGTAAACAACTGCCCAATCAAATACACGCCTGGCCTCCGCCGGGCAGTTTAGAGTAGGTATCGATCCCTGCCGCGTAGCGAACGGGGGCCACGCTGTCAAGGCCACTAGTGCTTAGGTGTCTCATTCGCTCTCTTTCGCGTGTGTCCCCTTAGGACCTCTCCTCGCACGGTGTCAGATGTGCAGTCTGGCGTGCAGGGTCGTTGCGAGGTGAGTGCAAGGTTGATGAGAGCCACAGTCCAGCCCAAGGCCAAGAGCGGAGTGGCGAGCCGCCACGGCAAATGCACAGTCACTGTATGTGATATGCTGCGGTCAGCCACCACCATGCGAAGGGTAAAACTGAGAACATAGCTTTATGTCTGTTTGCTAGGTGAGGCACGAACACCGATGGCCTTTCCAACCACTGGTTCAGCCACACCAAAACAATGCCACAGCCACGCCCAACCGATGCCACAGCCACGCCCAGCTGATGCCACAGCCACGCCCAGCTGATGCCACAGCCACGCCCAACCGATGCCACAGCCACGCCCAGCCGATGGGCCACGCCCAGCCACATGGTCCGGTCATGGAGAGGTTGGCAAGGTTGGGCCAAGCTAAACGATGGTAGCCACGCCCGCTAAACAATAATTCAGCGACGCCACGATTTATTATCCAGACAATGTCCGCATCTATGGTCACTGCATTTGTCCGTTTAATCCCGGCTATAACTGTCCGTTTCCACCGACCGCTGCTGTTGCCAGTTTCCATCAACTGTTACCATCGCCTGTTCCTCTGGGCGCAGTATGCTGCAGGACTGTGCAGTTTCAGAATGGCTGGTCTGTTTAGATACGGGGCGTCGCGGTGGCCGAGGTAGGGTGGGAGTGGGGGGGAGGGGGGGCTTTACCCCGGGTAGGTGAGCTGGGTCGCACGGCAGCCTACCCCGCCCCCAGTTCCCCCGTCGCCCCGGGCTAGCCATCACAGGAAGTCGGTACGAGGGGCGGTCTATTTCTGGTGGAGGGGAGGGGTCAGTGATGACAGAACGCCACCAGACGTTCTTTGAGGCCAAGCACGCAACGTCACTCATGCCGCCACGAGCAGCGAGGCGTGGGTGCTGAGAGCAGAGAAACATTCATGGAATTTACAGATTGTGCTGTTGGGTGCGCTTTGACCTACCGGGTGTTGAGATGTATGAAGTCGAGAAAGAACCTAAGCCTCTGTATCGGATCGCTTTGCGTGCATTTGCGCGAAAAGGAAATTGGATTCGACAATGGGCATGGTGATATTCAGGCGAATTGGAGATAATACGTGTCAAAGCGTCTGACGAAAGCAGTGAAACGGGGTAGCAGCGAGCTGAGTTCCGACCTGCGAGTTTTAGCTGTTGGGAAGCCTATAATATACAAGCAGTGGACTCAATAGCTAACTACATCGGAATCTGCAAGGCATCAGTTCGGCGTTGGTGGCCTGACTCACGCCACGGCAAAAGGCGTCCATTCTGACAGACCTTGGTTAGTTCTGAAGGATCAAACAGACGGTCGAGAGCGGACCCAGCATAGCAAATACGTACCGGGAACTGATGACAGCCTGGCCAACAGCGGCCGTGGAATGGACGGTATGGGCATTGAACGGGTCAATGCGGACCATAAACGAACCAAAACGAACCATGAACTGAGACCACCGAGACCACTGCACAGACCAAACTCAAATAATGACGCAGTCCATCTCTACCGGCCAACAAACGGCGGACTGTCAGACCCTGTGACAAAAGAGGTTGAGGGCAGACGGATGGTGACAGAATGAAAGACAGATGGACTACAGGGGTGAGAGACGGCTCTGCGCCGGGGCACGAAACAGGCACGACGAGGTACACTTTTGCCGGTGCCAGCCGTCAAAGAGACGTGCGTGAATAGCGACGTATCCAGCGACGGATTCAGCGTCGGATTCAGAATTCCCTTAAAACTCGTCAGGTCAAGTAGGACACGCTGATTCCAAAAATTGACATAAAACATATTTTAAGGTCATCTTTAAGGTCAAATTTGAGGTCAAAGGACGAGGTGCCCAAAAACATCCCGAATTATAGCCCCTAGAGGACAGGACCGAAAGTGATCATACATGATAGCGAAAGTGATGTACATGATAGCTCGTCACCGTGGGCAGCCTCCGTGAGTATGATTTTCAAGGTCAAATTTAAGGTCAAATGACTGGGTACCGGATAACGTCTCGAATTTATGGAAGGAGCGGGCTAAAAACGGTCACAAACGACGGCCAGCCTCATTGGCTAGCCTCCGCCACCCTGACCTTGGCTCTAGCCCTTGAACTTCAAGGTCAAACACAAGGTCAAAGATAGGCATCATTTTCCAAAGAAGGAGTCGGGCAAAATGTGAAGAAGTTGATCTGCCACGTTTCAAACAACCATTCCAGCGGATGCTTGTCCGCTTGGGCTACATTCTATTCTCTTGACCTTGACCCTAATGTTTGACCTTAGAGGTCAAACTCCAGGTCAAAAGACGGGATACCCAATAACGTCCCGAATTATTACCCCAAGAGGACCGTAAGTGGTCATACATGATAGCTCGTCACCGTGAGCAGCCTCCGTGACCATGACCTTAACCTTGACCTTTGAACTTCAAGGTCATATTTGAGGTCAAACGACGGGGTAACCGATGACGTCTCGAATGCATGGAAAGAGCGGCTAGAACGGTCCCAAAAGCCTCGTTGGCTAGCCTCCGCTACCCTGACTTTGGCTCTAGCCCTTGACCTTCAAGGTCAAACACAAGGTCAAAGACAGGCATCATTTCCCAAGGAAGGAGTAGGACGAAATGTGAAGAAGTTGATCTGCCACGTCTCAAACAACCATTCCAGTGGATGCTAGTCATCTTAGGCTACATTTTATTGATCCTAATGTTTGAAATGTTGAAACCTTTAATCATTGTAAGAAACTTTAAAACTGTGTAAGAATTTGCCTCCGATAGGAAATTGCCGTAAGAATGGCGATTTGTCGGCAAGGTGTGTGGGAAAAATATGTCCAGTAAGAAAAGTAACTATTTTGTAAGAAAATGTCCGCTTTGGAAAACGTCCGCAAGGCCAAGAATATGACCGTTTCTAACATCACTGAATAAGGACCATCGGCGGCAGCTCAATTCACATCATACATCAGGCAGCTCTCAACTGAGGTTCATCGGCTTATTTTCACATGCGGCCGCCAAGTACGCTAAGCGAAAACGCCTTGTAATCAGAAACCTGCCTGACGAGAGATAGTTCCCTTCCTGCACCGCTTGGCAAGATAGATTAAACCCTATATCTGGTCGTTTCCAAAGTTGACAATTTTTGCTTGGTGCAGTATGTCTCAATTGGCATAAGAGAGAAGTGGTGCGTCATTCTACATCATCGTTCGGCGCTGTACTAAAACACCCCTTCAAGTGCATTAACCCTAGAACGCCTAGGGGGGGGTTGTATCAACCCCCCCCCCCCTGAGGTTTTTTCGAAGTGCACGCTAAACGGCTTGTCGTAGCGGGCTGAAATTTTCAATACCCTCTGGGGCAACCTTTGCGCATCTTTTGATGAAAAAAATTGATCGAGTCATGTCAGGTCACGGAGTTATGACGTCATAAGAGGTACAGCCTCCGGCCGGATTTTCACAAACTGAGTGCCAACGCCCGAGGTTTCCTGCCGGTGGTACGGACATCGGTTGATGGATCGTGATGAAACTTCCCATGCATGTTGGGGAAGTATTGGCTATCATATGGTATAAGAAATTTGACCGGGTCAGGTCAGGTCACGGAGCTATGACGTCACAAGAGGAACAGCGTCCGGTACTATTTTTGAAAAGCGCCCGAACCACTATTTTGCTAATTCTTGTCACCTCAATGGGAATATGCAGCAATATTAGCTTCTATAGGGAGCAAATGGACCTCCCAAATCCAAAAATACAATCAGATTTCAAAAATTCAAATTTTGATTTTTCGAATTTCTGCCGCCGACTGTGACCTTGCCGACTTCCGGCGCTCCCAACGCGCCATTTTTAGAGCAAGGGAAACGAAATACATACCAAACGATAGAGAATTGATCAAGGAACACGATAGTGAAAGTTTCAAGTCGATATCTCCCACCGTTTTGCCGCAATCGCCGCCGAAAGTTGAAAAAAGTCTATTTTTCCGAAAATTTGACCTTTGACCGGTCAAAAGTAGGTCAAATGTTGACCTAGGACCAAAAGATATACCACCAATCGCGAGATCTCATTGAGAGCAATCCGTTGGTTTTTTCCGCTAAGCTCTACGACCTTCCGTTTCGAAACGCCAGGGGGGGGTCGTAACAACCCCCCCCCCCCCTGGTCGTTCGTGTTATGAGAAATGGCCTGGTCGTGCGAGGGTTAATCGACATCACTGCAACGGACAATTTGAGAGAGAATTCAAACGTCAGAAAAGC